GGAGAATGGGTCAATGAATGATTGGTCATTGAATGAATTAATGCACGATTACACAGATCACTGGATTACTTCGTCAATAAGTTTATGAAAGTATGTATTCCTATGTTTAGCTAATTGATTGGTTTTAAAATATAAATAATTCAGATAGAATTAGTAATATTTCGAATATGAAAATGTTTTCAATCTCCATTGCACTACGGGACAAAAACGATAGACAGAAGAAAAATATTTGATTTATACAACATAGTAAACAAGCATGTCATCGGATACATTGCAACACATAATGCATAATGGCCGACGGAAGTTTTACCGTCAGTTGATCACATCATAATTCAACATCTACATATACTTACTCTGGCAAATAACAGATGCGTCTTTACTATGATCACATGTGGAACTATTGACATTCTGTAAAGGACAGTCAGCTATCGAATATTCTGTGCCAAGACAGTTCATCTGATAAGGACGAATATCGCCGACAGATACGCCATAGAACGCAGAGTACAATGGTCGAACAGCACCCTCGAAACCTACAGCCAGATGTATCAAATATAAAGCAAATCCTGTGAACGACCTTCATCATAGATATCATAAAATTATTTGTGAATAATCAATCTAGCTGCTAAATAGCGATATTTAAAAAATGAATGAGCTTAAAATAACGTCCTGTTACTGGTTAACAGGACGTTATCAACGTGGCATCTGACAGTGTAAATACGGTCACTGAAGCTGGGAGATAGCAGGTCACGGGTTACTCCTAGTTGAAACATGCTGTTTAGATTTGAATTCAGTAATAAGCATATCCTTGGCAAAATGTGGTGTCTTTTAGAAGAATTCAATACAGAAAATACTTCATATTTGAAAATGTGTACATGTAATCGGACAATGCAAATCTTCAGTGTAATAATGTGTGTACAGTTGTGAGGTTAAGCCACAGAGGGAAATAACAATATTGTATTATATTGTTTTTCGGTGATTGTTGACACAAGCTGTAATAGTATCTGTCACCGTGATGCCATAAGTTACAGCATGCCGTAATTTTGTGGCATTGCACTGGACATTTTAATCCTATCATATGAAGAAAGCTAATTCCAAATAATTCACGCGCCTAAGCGTCCTCTAATAATAAAAACAAACATGGCTGTCCCCAGGGTTTGACAGAATCCCTAATAAAATAGTTCGCTAAATCTGTTATAAACGTTTTAGATTTAGGCATTCCCATGATATTCCTGGGAAGAAAAACATTATAATAATAAGGTTATTATGAGGATACTGTATGAGTATGCAATCAGACAGTACGCGGTCGCATTAATGATGATGGTGGGCACTGAGAAGAAAACTCACATACTCATGTTGGTCCTTACTGAAAAGATAACGTTGTCGTATTCAATAGAAAAGTGAATACACTTATTATGTGAAAGTATAATTCATTATCACAAATTAATGTTATAGAACATATTCATGTCTTTGCACACTGAGTAGAGCGCTTGTCCACATATTCATGTTGTTGCACACTAAGTAACGAGTGTGTCCACATATTAATGTTGTTGCACACTGAGTAGAAAGCGTGTGCACTCATTCATGTTGTTGCACACTGGGTAAAGAGTGTGTTCATATATTCATGATGTTTCACACTGGGTAACGAGTGTGTCCACCTATTCATGATGTCGCACACTGCGTAAAGAGTGTGTCCACCTATTCATGATGTTGCACACTGCGTAGAGAGCTTGTCCACATATTCATGTTGTTGCACACTCAGTAAAGAGATTGTCCACACATTCATGTTGTTTCTCACTGAATAGTGAGCTTGTCCACATATTCATGTTCTTGCACACTGAGTAGAAATTGTTTCCACATATTCATGTTCTTGCACACTGGGTTATGAGTTTGTACACATGATCGTGTTTTTGCACACTTAGTAGAAAGCTTGTCCAAATATTCATGTTGTTGCACACTAGGTAGAGATATTGTTCACATATTCATAGTGTTGCACACTGAGTAGGAAGCTGTCCACATATTCATGTTGTTGCACACTGCGTAAAGAGTGTGTCCACGTATTCATGATGTTGCACACTACATAAAGAGTGTGTCCACATATTCATGATGTTGTACACTGCGTGGAGAGCTTGCCCA